TTTTATTTACTATGTAAAAATTCAATATACCATGCAGATCATATGAAAAATGATCTACGTACACCCTACCCTTAAACATCTCAATTTACAGTCCAGTAGTGACAATTTCAATCGAAATAAAATAGTCGAAAAAAATCTAGAATGTTTAGGGCGGTGACATTTATTACGTAATTCCATTTACTATAGGCTCACGTAAGGCCAATTGTGATTGGCCAATTAATTATATACTATATTTATGTGTAACGTAATATATTACTATGGTACGTACGTACGTACATATTCAACCCCGCCCCTAAAAAATTACGTAATAAATTTCAGTGTCCTTATCAGTTCGATCAATTGCTAAACACTTAGGTGCTAGCAGATCTTCATTTCAAAATATGGACATGTTTAAAGATTTCCACCACTTTTAAGAAAATCAAGTCTGGTTAGGACGTGAAAATAGGTCGTTTAAAATTTTATAGAAGCCTTGTAGTATTTTATATGTTTCATATGAATTTTAATTTACAAATTGATTAGTAATCAATTTAAAACTTACGTATACGCATTTGGCTTTAGATTATCTTCGTAAATAATAAACCTACACTGATCATGCTGAAATCAATAACTTAGTGAATCGGACAATTTTTCACCAGATATTTCAAAATTTATAAGAATAGCTGTAAAGAAATAATCCAGCGGTTTGCTCCATAATATTGGTACAGCAATTCTACACCATTCACGATTTATAAGACATGAAATAAGCTTTTATGATATTTTTTTAATCACTGAAGAAATTAAATATTTCATAAAAGCATTCGGAAACTGGACAAGGTTTGAGTTATGACGTACTATATAAGTTTAAAGTATCGCGAAAGATCACATCACTATCTATAGTATGTACGTACGATTTTCACCACAAGCCCTTTTCATTGCCAAAAACCCGAATAGAGCTTTAGTCCTTTTATCGCCAAGAAGCAAGTGATATACATAACCAGATGCTGTGCCACTAGATCACCATCACCAGTAAACAATACCGATACGCATACAGGCTATCTGTATATGGCAAACAAATATTAGGATTACTTAAATCTAGATTACGGATAAGCACATGGGTCACCCGAATAAACTAAATGAATATCCGGATTATCTAGATCAAGCATTATAAATGATAAAGTATAATTAACACGGTAAATTATCCAATCTACTACTATGATCAACCTAAAATAAACTATTTATGGTATTTGTAAGCGTCGTACAGTAATAAGATATTCAATCTATACTATAGAGCACCAAATTTATATGCTTATATAATCGATTTTGATTGGTTAATTTTGGTGTAATTTTGCTAATTAAGAGGCAAATCGCGGTTAAAGTATAAAAATAGCAGAAATCGTCGGAAGTTAATAATTTTTTCTATTGAAGTGGAATGCAGCTAGCTTACAATGAAAAGTTTATTTATACTAAGTAAACCTTCGTTGAGTTTCTAACAAATATCATAGAGCAAGCTATTCAGGTTCTAGTATTGCAGAATTATTAAGTTTGGTTTAGTAGATCGCGAATTATTGGCATTGTCACCTTCATGGCTATCTGATATTTTATATTACCAGAAACTTTCGGTATTCCAACATTATATGAAAGTTATAGTAAATCTTCGTCGATTTTTACTATGAAAATTTATACCCTTCAACTGCGATCCAACCTGAGGATCTGCATCTGAGATGTGTAAAACATCACATGGGACATGGGTGCAATGCTAAATCGTCACATGAAAATGATCGACAATATATCACATACTATGAAAATTCTTAAAATATGCCCGGAGTAGAGATTATTACCCTGTCTCTCAATTTGAGTTTTTTAGGGTTAGGGTTATTTTAAATTTAATTGATTTTGTTTTGGTCATAGGTTAAGAACTATATCCCTGGTATATTTTAAGAACGCTCCACATACTATTTCAACGTGACGAATTAGTATCACGTCCCGTGCTTCATGTGATGTTTTGAAATCAGTGATCTGAGGCGTCACAGCATATATATATTTTCTCTTTTTAGATTAAAAGCCAAAATTTTAAACTATGATTAATTTTAACTCCTTATATAACAATTTAAAGTTTTTATTAATAAAGGTGGATGTGTTTTACTGTCCAGTACAGTATTTCATAAAATAATACAGTATTCATAAAATTATTGATCTTATTTCATAAGCTGAAGTACATAGGAATCATTAAATAAAATCGTTACTGCATGTGATGCATGCAATAACTACATACTATCTTATAGTGGTAAGAGATTTTGAATAAATAAATAGATGGACAAAATGATGTGACAAGAAAGACCACGTAGTTAAGTTGCTACAAGGGTAAAATTTTACGACAGACCGTTCCTGTGCCAAGCATTTACCATCTTTATAAATTTACATGTAAGCGCAAATGTTTTTAATAAACGCCTTGTTTAAAATTTTGTATTATTATATAGCCATAATTTTAAAATTTTCTAACATAATATCTATATAACTTTCCATATGATTTATTTTGATTACATTCTTTATCAAAATCGTCGAATAATTGTTGATATTCTTCTGGAGATATTTTCATATAATCTGGCATATAAGTCAAAGCACCATAAAATTGTTTTATTTGTTCCAATGTCTGAACAAATACATGAAATACGACCAGAATTAATTAGTCCAGTATATTAATAGTTTCCATGCGAATAAATGATTAAATATAGAAACTTACAAGTTCGCCAAAACTTCCTGACCAATTACCGATTGGAGAAGATACTTCACTACGTTCAACATTACCCACCCCATTAATTGATTCAAAACATTCAAATATCCTTAAAGCTATTTTGGGTTCAAATCCATCTTCTTTTAATTTTGCGTGCACTATTATATAATACAATTATTATAACGACATCTTTAATATACGTGAATAATAAGATTTATAAAATCTTACCAGCATCCTGAACCAGTTTCATAGAATTTCCTAAATTTTTGTATTCCAAATCAGGCTCTTGAATCTCAATCCATCCATCGTGTTTCGTCACACGTACTGTTTCGTAAATAATACTTAAGTATTGTTGTTTAGTAAGTGACGCCCACATCGTTGATATATGGACATAATCAAACGTCTCGTCCGGAAATGGAATTCCATTTAACAAGTTACACTCTATAAATCCCACATTAGAAGGTAGTTTATATGTTAAAGGAAACTTGCATGATGGATCACTTATGCCGACAATTATTGAATTTGGAAAATCGTTTGCCACCTCTAAAGTCCAATAACCACAACGTCTATGATGTGTATATATATACATACGTACGTTAGGAAGCTCGTGACAGTTAACGCATTATGTACATAGATGTAGGTATGTACGTACCCAATATATAGAATTTTAGCTTTATCATTCATTAATATTTCTTCTACAGGAGCTGAAAAATTGCTTCGCCATAAATAACGATATATTAAATGAACACCCATACTTCGCTCAAACTCTGTTGCATCCGATGGTAGAGCTTGTTTCGATTCATTTAAGAACCTCCTTCCTCCAATAGTTTTAAACAGATCTAATAAAGTTGAAAATACATCATTATCTGATTCACAATAATTTATATTTTGGCCTAAAATATCTTTATTGTTATCGTTTGTTTGTTTTTCTTTATCGAAACTTAAGGACATTATTTAAAAATGAATGCAAACTATGTTTTGTTTAGACAATTTTTCAAACTAAATAACTAACTAAATAAATGACTGATTAAATATAAATATTAAAAACAGGGGCAAGATTATCAATTCCCTTTTATCGCATATGCCGAATTTTTATTAACATGTAGGATTTGAAAATAAAATCTTGTTAATTTTTGTGGAATCGGACTCAAATCAGATGCTTTTACGTCATAGGCAGAGGTTTTTTTTTTAGTGGTTAATGCAAATCAATTTCCTGGGTAACTTATTTATATGTTTTTAAAGTAAAGAAGTTTAGTATGCCATAAAAGTATCGCTCCATGATCTCCAAACATCTGGAATGCCATACGAATAAACATTCTCCCCGATCTCTTGCAGCATAGGTGACACCTATTCTAAATTAATAAATTAATATAATACATTTTACAGATGAATGATGCTGAAACCAACTGATCGACACTGCTAACCAATCAGATATGTTAATTAAGCATAATCCTGCTTTGAAAAAAAAAACTAAATAAATACGCTATCACTTATTTCGCTATAAAAAAAAAAAAAATCGAAAAACGTATCCCGGCTTTCTCCAGATTATCTTTCCATTATCGTTCCGGAAATGCTCATTTTTCGGAACAAACCAAATATAAATTCCTGGACATTTCCATAGAATCCTAATAAGTTCCGGAAAAAAAAAATCAAATCCAGATAAGATTCGCTTCTAATAATAATGAAGTACAAAAGATTGGAAACAGAATCTTACCCGGATTTGATTTCTACCTGAAAATTACCGGGATCCTATGGAAATGACCAAGAATATGTATATGTTTTGTTCCGAAAAATGAACTTTTCCCGGAGAAAAATTTTTATAGGGTTTGACTACACAATAATTAAGAAAA